CTCCTTTGCAGCGCCGAGACCGGCCCTGCGAGATGGGCTGCCGGCTCCCTCTTGCTCGTTGCTCGGACCTCGTCGGACGGGTCTCAGAGGCAGGCGGCGGCGTGCCGGCGGCTGGGTAGCGCAGGAAGCTCCGGGGTCCTGGCAGGACCGGAGTCGGGGTGGCGACGTCCCCCCCTTCCCTCCCCAGGGCTCGGCAGACAGCTTCCCCGGGCACCCAGGATGACTGTGAGGGAGGTTGGGGGGGGGAGGAGAAAGAGAGACGGACGCGGTGGGACTGGGCCTCCTCCGTCACTGGGGCTGGCCCGAGGAGCCCTGCTCGTCAGCCGTCGGAAGGTTCACCTGCTTTTTTTTCAGCGCTTTCAGAGTCTTGGCTGCCCCGACGGCACCCTCCAGAGGATCTTTACGTTGGTTTTGTGCACTTTTCCCCTTGGGCCCCTGGGTGCAATGTAGAAGGTGCGTTGCCTTTAGCCTGCACTCCATGGAGGGTGCCCTCCTGGCACTTACTATATACCCCTGGAGGTGCCAGCTCTGAAGCACCCCTGCTACAGTCTGCGCAGAACAAATGAAGGAAAGTTTGGCCAGAGAGATCCTTGGAAAGGCAGGGTAACCGGAAATAATACGTTTGACATAAACTGCGGCTGTGAAACCTAGAAAAGCAGACACGATGATTAAAGTTGCTTTGTGAGGCAGCTTAAAGGCCTAGCAGAGTGGCAGTCCTGCAGCCTCAAGATTGCCAGCAGGTGAAGACCCCAACAGATGAGAAAGGACCCTGCTGGTTTTCTGAGTCTGCTTCCTTGCGTTTTTCCGAAAGGGTCAGTGGAAGGCCACGTTAGCAGGTTCAGCTGTCTGCTGCAAGTTTAACCACCAAGATGAGCGCTTATCACGTGGTTTCTGTGGCCAACTCCTAATGCCAAGAAGACACAGCTCTTAAGGCCTCCAGTTAGCTAAATGGGCACAAAAAGGTGCCCTTTTGGTTAGTATGTCCCCAAAGCTGTACATTTTATTTCCTGTAAGGAAATGCTATTGGTTCCAAATAGTTTGACCCTAAGTCTGAGGAACACTACCCATTTTGCATGTATTTTGTGAGCAAGACTTTGGACAGCTGCTGACAATCAGGTAATGCTGAATCAGGTGGATCAGTTGCCTAGTTAAAAATAAGACAATGCCCTGTCAGCAGAGACGTCTTCATGAGGTTTACAGAGTACCACGAGTGCACAGAAAAGTGGGTTTCCGTATGGACTTCTATAGACATGTTGCCAGTTATAATATAATGCCTGGACCAGTATCCCACCTGATTAGTATAGTATTAAATAACCACAGAAGATGACAATAATTACCAGTCAGAATGTTATATTTGGACCAGCCCCTCGTATGATTGCATTCTTGTTTATCAAGGGGGTCACCTTTATGTTTTTTAGTCAAATTGAAAGTTCCTGTTAAGGTCCTGCAGCAAACATAAAATGAATTTTACAGTTCCAGACAGGTTCCTATCCCTCAATATGAGAAGCAAATAAATTGGGATTATGCAGTTCCTTTAAAAAATCCAGATATAAAACTTACAACTTGAGAAAAATATAAAGACATTTGAGGAATTTCCTTCAGCAAAATGTTGTTCTCTTTCTCTCAAGATGCAGAAGTTTTCCTGAACTTTCCTTGTGCACGGCTTTTTCTGAATGGTTGTTAATATCTAGAACTTGACCAGGATCATTTGTTTTTTAAATGCAAGGAGATATGCAGAAACAAAACAAAACAAAAAACAACCATCACCACCACCACAATATAATTGTAGTATAATTCCAACAGACGTTGAACGGAGCTGATCACCCCGAATAGTTTGGGTGTATTGACAGAGTGAGGCAGTAAAGGTGAATATATGAAATGCTCATGAATGGATTCAGGATGGAAATCAAAGAAAGTTTCAAAATAGTCAATTCATTTGAGAATACTGTATTAGGAGAGGGCAGATATATGGATTACTCTCTCTGTGTACCTCAAACAACACGTGCACAAAATTTGCTTTTTAAAAGGAGGAGTTGTTTACATTAAGAAAGCATGAATGGAGAATACAATCAAGGGTGAATTAGAAATGGGAAACTCTGTCCACCACAGCAAACCTTCAGGATGTTCCGTAGTACAGTGGTGCCTCGCTTAACGATTGCTTCGTATAACGAACAATTTGCTTAACGATGGCTTTTTTGGAGCGATCTTGCGGTCCGTTTAACGATTTTCCCTATGGGCTATTTTCACTTAATGATTTCGGGACCATGCTTCGCATAACGATTAGGTTTTTGGTCCCCTTGTTTCGCTTAACGATTTTTTTGACAGCCCTGTTTTTGCTATTTTTAAAATATTCTAAAATGTTTAAAATGTTTAAAATGCTTGGAATCGTTAGTGCACCTAATAAAACCTTCGTTAAATTAATTTGGCTTTGTTCTGAGTCTTTTTGAATTTTTTGTGAATTTTTTTCTCCCCCATTGAAATGCATTGAATAGGCTTCAATGCATTTCAATTGGGGAACCGCGTTTCGCGTAACATTTTTTCCTATGGCGATTTTCGCTTAAGGATGGTAATCTGTTCCAATTGGAATGGATTATCTGGTTTTCAATGCATCTCTATGGGAAATGGTGTTTCGCTTAACGATGTTTTCACATAGTGATTTTTTTAGAACCAATTAAAATCGTTAAGCGAGGCACCACTGTACTTAAAAAGTCAGAGAGAGAGATGATAGGAATCAAATTCCAGTCGAAAGTATTTTAGTTTTATGTAGATCCAGTTGCAGATCAGGGCAACGTTCACAAGTGTCAGCAGTTGCTTAGGCAGTACATGAATACATCCTGAAGCATCCACCAAGTGTGATTTTTCTATTGTGAGCTCATTTTCCCCTGCTTTCACGGTCTAACAGGAAAATATACCTAACAATGCTGGCTGAGTTGATCCTTGTCCCTCTTTCATTGTACCAGCAGTTGGACAGTCTTTTATCTTTTTTGTTTTGTTTTGAAATATAGTCTGAGGAGGAGGGCGCCTTACCACCACTGCCACCACCATTTTGAAGTGAGGGTCAGGTGCTGCCAGAGGTAAATAAAAAAACCCAAGTTTTAAGAAATGACAGACTTGGTCTCAGGATGTGGGAGTGGAAAGAGAAGAGATTGTGGTTCCATAGCCACCAGAAAATCAGCCCTCTGCCCAAGTTGATTTCTGCTCCAGACTAGAGCAGAAATCCAGTGTACCAGCAGTTGGTCTGTCATTGTAGACAGACTGGAGCAGAACTGGTTGTCTCTGAGCTTCACCGGGAGAATACATATATTTGACAAGAGTGTGCTTTGAGACTGAGTTTGCTAGAGTTCCAATACTCAGCTGATGTACATTTGCACGCAGCTTTAGGAGAGTATGTTCATGTATGACGTATAACACCGCACTTAGTCAACAAGTGGATCATATTAGTCAAACACATTTAGAAGGAAGGTGGTTATTGTTATTTTGAAGTATTCGTGCTATCTGCTGATGCTTCTGTTTTAATACTGGTGCTATCGCTTTATGCATGACTTTTATATTTGTCTCTGTTAGGGATTCGACTGTTTGTTATGGTTCACATTAGAAGGTAACAGCCGAAGGGCAGGAGATAAATATTTTAAAAATATGTTTTGAATAAGGATGCCATGACAACCCCCCCCCCAGCAACCTAGATATGCAAGTGTTTTCCAGATCCCCTGTTCTTTCTCAGGAGCTTATGCCTGTTCTAAGATGGTACTGCTGTGACACATATATAAAGACTATCCGCTTTGGAGTGATTGCTTTTGTTCATTTGCATATTTTTTTATTTTATTTATTTATTTATTTATTTATTTGCCTATCTAGTCAGTTGTGACCACTCTAGGCGGCTTACAACACACACTAAAAATTTAAACATATAACATATTATATCCCACCCATCTGGTATATTCTACCACTCTGGGCGGCTAATTAATAAATCTGCTAAGATTTAATCAGCTGACAACTTGACTAAATATGCAACACGTTTTCACTGAATCCATACTTAGGTTACCACTTTAATGAGGTTATAATGACTTGACATATTCATAGGAATAATTCCTATTAAAATTCATTTCAGATCTTAACGCGTAGATCTGACCTGCATAAAACATGAAATGTATTTCATATAAATGCTACCAATGTACCCAAACGCTGTAGCGCACAATGTAATGAATCTAATTTTGGATCAAGCCTGGTCATGATTGCTACTGATTGGCCAGGGTCCAAAGATCTGTATCTACAGGATAATACTGGGGTTAGTATGTTATTTCTCAGCCCCTTCTAGCCAGTAAATTAGATCACTTTAAAGGACAATTGGATAATTCCCAAAGATGATGCTATCTTCAAGTTAAGAAGTGGTTTGCCTTTGAACCTCAAGCCCTAAGAAGCATTGAAAGAGAGCTGTTGCCCTTTGGTTGTGGGCTTCCAGAATGTGTCCGGCTCGCCACAGGAGGAAACAATGCAAGGTGGAATGTTTCCCTTTGGTGACCCAGCTGGCATTGATGTTTTCCTTATTTTGGTGCCAAGTTAAAACCTGAGTATATTTGCCCAAGCATGTTAGGGCCTAGCAAAGCCATGGCTTGGTTTTCAATTTGTCAGATTAAGTGGTTAATTTTTAAATTATATGGTTTTAATTTTTTTTTACATTATTTTATATTTGACCTTTTTGATTGCACCAACCCTGAGACCTGGTGATACAGAATGGATTACAAATATTTTAAAGAACTACCTAAATACTACATGGCAGGA